TAAACTTTGAAATATTTTTGGGAAACTGCAATCCTTAATCTTATTCAATTTTAAAGCCAAACGATTGCAGGATTAAATCAGGCTATATTACCAATTCTATTAAAAATTAAATACTGTGTAATTTGGCACTAGAAGTAGGTGTTTGGTACCATCTTTTATTAAATTTAATAATTACAATTAAATTAATATTTACTAAATAACTTAGAAAATACCTACATATAGTGCCAAATTATTCATTATTTAATTATTAATAGTATCTGTAATATAGCCCAATTTAATATGTCAATTGTTTAGCTTAAATAAAACTATCAGGCTTAGAGATGTTTATATGTGTATTATTCAATTTTGGTTTCAAAGAACATCAACAGACTTTTTGCTGGAATTTATACAATCATTTCTTTAAAGAAATGATTGTATAAATATTGATAGTTTTATAACATATAGTTTAAAAACAATAACACAAACATTTATTACAAAGTTTTTAGAAGAAAAAATATATTTGTTACTAGACTATACATATACATGAGTCCATATCTTCTATTCCTTCACACGCTTATTGTAGAGGCATTAACAAGTCTACGGCGGAACCATCCTTTTATTTGAGGCTACTGTCTGCAACAAATGTAAAAAAGTTAAAAAGTCTTCTAGCTGTAGCACACACAATTCATAAAAATTAATGATTACATTAACAAAAATTGCCGAGACAAATTCATATTTAGAAGAAAAAATATATTTCTTACTAGACTATACATTTACATGATATAATTTTTGTTAATGTAATTATTAATTTTTATGAATTGTGTGTGCTACTGCTAGAGGACTTTTTAACTTTTTTACATTTGTTGGCAGACAATAGCCTCAAATAAAAGGACAGTTCACATGCTTATTGTAGAGGCATTAACAAGTCCATAGACTTGTTAATGCCTCTACAGTAAGCATGTGAAGGGATAGATGATATGGACTCATGTATATGTATAGTCTAGTACAGGCATGGCCAATATATGGCCCGTATAATGAATTTATACAGTCTGCGATTAATCTTTCAGTATTAGCTACTCAAGTCCGAATAGCTCAAAGAAAAATTCTGACGCCTATTAAAAAAAGAAAAAGTCAACAACTCACTGTGTGTTTAGAGTTAACCGTCCATTACAAATCTCATAAGTACAGCATAGAATGTTGATAATGCATGATAATGTGAAAAATGTATCTGTAATCTCTATGTACAATTTAGTCTCTATGGGGTGACACCACAATGAGATCACGCACCACCTCAAAATCTTCCTAGGGCAGCCTCTGGTTTAGCCCGTAAAAAAAGTTTTCTTTTCAATTTGGCCCAGGGGCAAACACTATTGGCCACCTCTGGTCTAGTAAGAAATATATTTTTTCTTCTAAATATGAATTTGTCCCGGCAATTTTTGTTAATCTTTATCTCTATTTCACTTTTCGAAATTTTTATTTTTCGTTAATTTGTTCTAATTAAAGAAGTTCAAAAATCATTTAACGTAACATGGAAGTCCACATAATTTGCCATTTTTATTGTTTTTCTTTTCTGAAATTCCTGGCAGTCAGCATTTGTGTTCTCTAGAAAACACCAGCAGTTGCATCACTTTTGACAGCATCTTGCTGGATTGATGCTGAGATTTTGAATATGCCCATTGCATGTAGATCATGTGATACATTATTACATATTTTTCGATACTCTAATCAATGGTTGTATCAGTTTAAATAATTTTTGCTGCTAAAGAGCATTTGCTTTAAACTTCTTTTCTAATGTTCAAAATATTTTCAAAATGACATCATAATGCAGCATTATAAGAAAAGTTACTGTATATGCAGAAGAATATGAAAATAGAGTTGCCAAACAGTACCTGTTTCATTCCATTTTTATTGTTTTTCTAGCTACTCATCAAGACTTAATAAAATTGATTATTTAAAAATTTTTTCTCCATAACAAAATAATTTTTAATTTAGTGAACGTTTCTTCAATCCGAAAAAATCTTTCTGGTAGACTACCTCACAACCAATGAAGAGATGTTCACTAAATCAACATATAAAACATAAAACAACTAAACCATCGGAAAATTCACAAAAAATTTTTACATTGATTTCAGAGCCATAAAACATCTTAGAATTGAGGAAATATGGTAATATGGCAGTTATCTTTATAATTGTTACATTGTTATGGCTTATAAATGTTATTATTACAACAATTAATTTAATGTTGATGTATAAAATTATAATTTATGATTTTTTAACCATGGTAACAAACTGTGTTTTGATCAAAAGTTTATCAGTTTTCATTTTTGAGAATTTTTACTTTTTTTAACCCTAGATAACTAATCATTCATCCAGATGACGACGCATCTCAGCTCGAAGGTGAAATTCAGAAACTTTCCCCGCTTCCTGCCAGTCATTCTTTTTCTAGCTTAATAATTTCAATAAACAGTGCCGTGTGTGATGTAATTGTATTCACACGTCAATTAGAAATTGACTTACGGCCATCCTGTAGTCCGCTCGATGAAAGTTTAGTCACTATGTATCTTCGTTGCAAAGACATGTACTGTACATTATGTACAGTACATTGTTATGGCTGCAGATGTAAAGAGTTAGTATGTGATAAATGCCATTCCCTATTTGGGAAAAGGTATTAATCCTTAGAAACAAATATTGGCTACGTTTTTCATAAAGGAAATAACCTTTATGAAAAACGTAACATTACTATGGATAACAGGTTCACGTCTGTAACATTACTGTGGATAACAGGTTCACGTCTGTATCTTTGGCAGATGAACTATTGAAATCACCTTATAATATGACCTTAGTTGGCACTCTTAGAAGTAAAGAAAGAGAAATTCCCGAAAAATTAAAAAATTCTAAATCATGCGCTATTGGTACTTCAATATTTTGTTACGATGGCAATAAGACATTAGTTTCGTACAAAGCCAAGTCAAATAAAGTTGTTTATGTTTTGTTGACTATTCATGATCAACTTAACTTCAATGAAAATACATGAAAACCACAAATAATACATTTTTATAATAGTACAAAGGGTGCAATAAACACAGTAAATCAAATGTGTTCAAATATAAGTCAAAATCGAAAGGTGGCAACTATGCGTGTTTTATAATATGCTAAACCTATTGGCAATAAACACCTATGCTATCTGTGTCTCTAATAACGTTAGAAACAAAAAAAAAAAACCCATGTCCTGGTGGAATTTTTTTTTATGAAAATGAAAGACAAACTCATGGAACCCCAGCTACAACAGTGGTTACGGACAGTACCTTTGAGGTGTGATATCAGAACCATAATACAAGATATTCTAAATGATGTGCCCAGTGTAGAAGCTCCTACTCATTCTGCATCAAATCCATGCAAAATATGCTATTTATCTCTATTGAAAGCTTGACGAATGACAAAACACTGCTGCATGAAATGCAAAAATGCATTTTGCAGCCCCCATAATGTTAACATATGTAGCAACTGCATGTAATCTTATTTCCTAAATGTTTTGTCCTTATTTAGTTCCTATTTATCCATACTATTGTGTCATGTTACAAGTTCCTATTGTAAAGTACTATATTATTTTTCCGACTTTCCAACGATTATCGACACTACTGTGTGCCGGAAATAGCCGTTCCCTAACGGGTACTTTACGCGGATTCGCGTTAGTGTGCCAGGCCTGGACTTTAAGCGTGCACCGAATTAAATAATGACAAAGTTTGTCAATAACAAAATCAAATATTTAATTAAACTTCTATTAATAAACTCTATACAGTATTTAGTAAAAATCAAACAATAATTTATTCAATGAAATTCAACAAGAATCAATCCGACAAACTCAAATCAATCTATTTCTAACTTAATTCTATTCCCCTTTGGAATTCGACAAAATCAAAGAATTAACTTATAAACAATAATTCTTATAAATTAAAGATCCTAATCGTCACCTCAATATACTAGGAACCTATTTCCTCAAACTCTCAAGACTTTCTATAATCGTCGATCCACAAATCGAATAACTTCAAAATCCTATCGGACACCTCTCTCGTTCACTGCTACGAAGCTCACCAAAGCTCGTTGCTATCAGGAATTCACCTCGTTCGTTTTCACTTGAGTTAGAGGCTTTATAGTGTGAGGTGACGTCACAATTCTGAATGAGCTCACTCTCCTCATTTACATACTTATCTGTAACATTAAATTTTTCTTGTTTATCTGGCAGATTATTTTCCGACAATACTTCGCTAACCTTTTACATTATTCTTTTTAACAATTATCGGGATGCTTTATTCTTTTAAGGTTTAGCGATTCCTAACTGGGTTGTGGGGTCTTCCCCCCCTTTTTCTCGGTGCGGACTTACTTTTTTCCGCTTGGGAAGCGCAAGTGTGCGCGAGTTTTTCTACGGCGCTTTTCTTTCGTCGGTGAGTTGGTTTTTCTTCTATTTTTAAGTTACTAAGGTGAATGGTGAGGAAACCTTCGTCTTAAATAAACATAAGCCCCAAACAAAATATAATGAAAGCAAAATAAAAGTAAAATAAAAATAAAGCTCAGACTTGGTTCCTTACACCATTTTTATTAAACAATTTTATTGATATTAATGTTTTTTAATGCATAGTCCGCTTGACGAATGTGTGGTTATAATGTAACTGTAATTTAAGTTTAGTTATCTAGGGTTAATTTATAAAAATGACTATTATTTAATTTGTATAATTTTTAATGAATACTTTATTGCATGCGTTGGACATAGAAAAATATTAGATCAGAAATCTTAATATTTTTATGGCTGAAAAGACATCTGAAGAAATTGTTTTAATTTTTTCTACAATATATATATTTACTACATGAATGGATTTTTACAGTTATATATTATAATAAAAATTACACTTATAAACAATAACAAATATTTAGAAATTCACTATCTGTTATACTGAAGTCAGAGAATATAAGTGATATATGGAGAAAAATTCTCTTACTCTGTTTGTAAGTTATAATAAATTTATCTGTAATCATTTAGATGCTTTACATTTACTGTATATAAAAATACACTGAAATATTTTTTAAAAAATGAAAAAATATTGCAGTGATGATGATCCTGGAGATGTATCGTATGAAGAACCTACAACAAGAGGAAGAAAAAGGAGAAAAGTAGATGGACCAAAGCAAACAAGGAGTAAAAAAGGCAGAGAAACTACTCGAAGAGGCAAAGTTGGACAAAGAGCTGTATCTGATTCAACAAGTGATGATCCAAACAGTTTATTTGAAATAGTAAAACAGGGAAAAAGTTCTTTACAAGTAAGTAATAATTATTTAACTTTTATTTATATATATTCATTATAATTATAAACTAATGAATTTGTATTTTATATTTAAATTAAAAATTATAATAGTATAATAAAATTTTAAGCTTTAATTTTATATGTGAATTTAAGCAAAATGTTTTGTTTACAGAAATAAAAATACAGGTAACCCCCGTATAACACGGCACTTCTATAGCACTGATTCACTCTAACACGGTTTGAGAATTGGGTAAAACCCTCGTTGGGTAAAAATTTATTACATTTCCTGTTGGGTACAACAGGAAATGTAATAAATTTCTACATACTTAATAATTTTCGTGAACTATTAGTACTTAAGTATGTAAATTTTCTCTTCTCGCCTTCTGTCGATACACGCTGTAAAGTACTATTTTTAACTTATCGCTCTACAACTATTTTCGTTCCGGAAAGAGCCAGTACCTAACGGATACTTTACGCGGGTTTGCGTTTGTTAGTTTGCCAGGCCTGGACTTTTCGCGTGCACCGAAATAAATTAAAGACAAGTTAGTCAAAATCAATAAAAGTATTTAATAAAGATCTAGGAATAACTATTTACAATATTTATAACAAACAACAAATTTATTCAATCAAATCAAATCCAAATTCAACCTGACAAAATTCAATCTTATTCTAACTTAGAACTATTCACCTTGGAATTCCGACAAAAATCAATCTTTAACTTAAGGTACAGAATTTCTTACAACTATAAATCATAACCTCACTTCAATTATACTAAGAACCTTTTTCCAACTCAAGCCTTTTCCTATTCCTCGATCCACAAATCAAAAACTGCAATTGCCTTGGACTATTTCCTATTGGACACCTCGTTCACTGCTACTAGCAGACCAACGCTTATTCCTTGCAGGAGCTCACCTCTGATGTCTTCACTTGAGCTACGCTATTTATAGTCTGAGGTGACGTCACAGTTTCTAAGTGAGACACTCCCCTCATTTACATACTTACACATAACATTCACTTTTTTCTTGTTTATCTGGTAGCTTAATTCCCGACAATACTTTGTTAAATTTTACAGTCTTTTGTTGAACAATTATCGGGATGTTTCCTTTAAGATTTAACAAGTCCCTAAAAGTCTGTGGGGTCTGTCCCCCCTTTTCAGTGCGGACTTACTATCTGCCGCTCGGGCGTGCACGTGAGTGCGAGTGTGAGCTATGGCGCTTTCTTTTCGTCGTCGGTGAGTGGTTTTATCTTCTCTTTTTAACTTTTTAAGGTGATGGGTGAGGAAACCTTCGTCCTAACTAAACATAAGCCCCAAACAAAAATATAATAAAAGCAAAATAAAAGTAAAATAAAATAACACTCGGACTTGGTTCCTTACACTGTGGTCCTTCGCGAAACTTGTTTCAATGTTGCCAGATCGTGACGCTTCTGCTTCTGATGTTGCCGAATGTTTTTCCCTTATTCCATACTTGCTTTATTCTTCGTAAGTGCTTAGCACCATATAAGGAAATTTATAAAGACCTTTTAACTAGAAGCAAGCAATCTAAAATTACATACATTTTGCAAAAGGTAAAGCATGGATCTGAAGATAATGCAGAAAAATGCTCAGAGGATAAGGATAACTTGCCAAAAAGAA